ATCTAGTACAACAAACAGCAGTACAACATCTGCACCATCGACTGTGAGCACAACCTCATCATCCACGGTGTCTGATTCTACAGCATCTAGTACAATGAACAGCAGTACAACATCTGCACCATCGAGCACAGCCTCAGCATCCACTGCTACATCTACACCGTCTGATGGCCTGACAACATCAGCTACAGGTTGGTCATTGCCTATGTAGGTCTGTTTTTATAGCAGACGTTTTGATAGTCACAGCAGGAAAAGCAAATTAATAATATTAATGATGGCTCAGTTCCAATAAGGCATGGCAGTGAACCAGCATACAAAACAGCAGGGCTTCACTTAGTAGAACGCAGCTAACCATTAATACACCGGTGCTTTTTCCAGCTATGACATGTCGAAATGCTTGTTGGAAAAGGTCTATAGACAAGAAGACGATAGAAAGTGTCAGCTTTATAAATTGTTGTATAATCTGGATGTACCACATTTTGTTCTGTTACAGCCTTATTCTAAAATGGATTACGTTCATTTTTCCCTCAAAATTCTACATAAAATACACCATTATGACAACTTGAAAGAAGTTTTTTTTTTTAGATTTTTGCAAATTTATTAAAAATAAAAAGCTAAGAAATCATATGTACATAAGTATTCACAGCCTTTGCTGAACATTTTGTTGATACACCTTTGGCAGCAATTAGAGCCTCACGTCTCTTTGAATATGATACCACAAGCTTGGCACACCTATCTTTGGGCAGTTTTGCCCATTCCTCTTTGCAGAACCTCTCAAGCTCCATCAGGTTGGATGGGAAGCGTCGGTGCACAGCCATCTTCAGATCTCTCCAGAGATGTTCAGTTGGATTCAGGTCTGGGCTCTGGATGGGCCACTCAAGGACATTCACAGAGTTGTCCTGAAGCCACTCTTTTGAGATCTTGACTGTGTGCTTAGAGTCGTTGTCCTGCTGAAAGATGAACTGTCGCCCCAGTTTGAGGTCCAGAGCGCTCTGGAGCAGGTTTTCATCCAGGATGTCTCTGTACATTGCTATATTCATCTTTCCCTCAATCTTGACTAGTCTCCCAGTTTCTGCGGCTAAAAAACATCCCCACAGCATGATGCTGCCACCACCATGCTTCACTGTAGGGATGTATTGGCCTGGTGATGGGCAGTGCCTGGTTTCCTCCAAACATGACGCCTGGCATTCAGGCCAAAGAGTTCAATCTTTGTCTCATCAGACCAGAGAATTTTGTTTCTCATGGTCCGAGAGTCCTTCAGGAGGATTTTAGGCAGGCTGCCATGTGCCTTTTACTAAGGAGTGGCTTCCATCTGGCCACTCTACCATAGAGGCCTGATTTATGGACGGCTGCAGAGATGGTTGTCCTTCTGGAAGGTTCTCCTCTCTCCACAGAGGAACGCTGGAGTTCTGACAGCGTGACCATCGGGTTCTTGGTCACCTCTCTGACTAAGGCCCTTCTCCCCCGATTGCTCAGTTTAGATGGCCGGCCAGCTCTAGGAAGAGTCCTGGTGGTTCCAGACTTCTTCCATTTTCAGACAATGGAGGCCATTGTGCTCATTGGGACCTTCAAAGCAGCAGAAATGTTTCTGTATCCTTCCCCAGACTTGTGCTTCGAGACAATCCTGTCTCTGAGGTCTACAGACAGTTTTTTTTACTTTATGCTTGTTTTGTGCTCTGACATGCACTGTCAACTGTGGGACCTTATAGACAGGTGTGTGCCTTTCCAAATCATGTCCAATCAACTGAATTTACCACAGGTGGACTCCAGTTAGGCTGTAGAGACATCTCAAGGATGATCAGTGGAAACAGAATGCACCTGAGCTCAATTTTGAGCTTCATGGCAAAGGCTGTGAATACTTATATGATTTCTTAGTGTTTTATTTTTAATACATTTTCAAAAAAAAACATTTTTCAAGTTGTCATAATGGTGTATTTTGTGTAGAATTTTGAGGGAAAAAATTAATTTAATCCATGTTAGAATAAGGCTGGAACATAACAAAATGTGATCAAAGTGAAGCGCTGTGAATACTTTCCAGATGCGCTGTATAAGAAAGTGTTTGCATCAGGGAAGCTCTGATCCAACAATGATTCGCCTCCATTGGCGAGCTCACCAACAACTTTTCACTGTTTTCTTGTACTTGCAGCAGAAACAACAACATCAGAAACCACTACAACTCTGGATACTACACATGTCAGCACAAAAACAGATTCTGAAACCACCACCAGCTCAGACGAAGGTACAGTCGTCAGTGTAGTGAACAGTTTGCACGATAAAGCTGATTTTAACGAGCGCTTTGCTTTTTCTTCAGACACCCAAACGGTGACTGTTCACTTAAAAGCCTCTCTTTTTTCCTACAACGAGGATAATGAAGATGCAATTGTAGAGGCTTTATCTAGTGTAAGTACAAACCGCCTTCGACAACAAATCTGCATCATGCAATAAGAGTATCACAAACGCTGCATGTTTGTCTTCTTTCTCACAGTTTTTGTCCAAGGCCGTTCTCCAAGGTAACTGTGAGGGCTGCACTCTGAGCATCAGGAACATTAAACCCACCTGAGAAAGGACACTTGTTTCAGGATGGGGAGGCACGAGTATGACACCAGCTGTACTGTGGCAACAGACCGTACAACTCTCATTTGTTAAATCTAATACTGTTACAGGCCAGGGCCTACTTGATGCTTAGGTAATAAAAGGACCATTGAGCACTATGTGATGAAAGTTAACCTTTTGAACTCCAAGCAGTTTCTTGACATTTTTTTTTTTGCTCCCATTGTATTTTTTTTCTCACTCTGGGCTCATATTCCATTGAAACATGAAGTCCTGCACCTTCAGGAAACAGCCCAACCATGGCAAGAAGTAGAAAGAACTCAAAAATGGCTTATAATGCCGTATATCATTAAAAGAGAGAGAGAGAGAGAAAGAAGAAAAGTTAAAAATCTTCGATTGTATGTTCAATATTTTTCAAAGTGCCCACAATTGCTATTTATACTGAAAAAATAATGGTGATGCTACAGACTGTAAATATATCACTACCTTTATTTTTCATTTGTTTCCATACTTGTCTCCTATCTGCTCTGGGCACAGCCTGCAGTTTAGCAAAAAAGTTACATTTTTGCTGAGTCACTAATACCTTCACTGCTGTGCCAAGCAGAGCAGAATGTTTTGTTAATTTTCTGCATTCCAAAAAAAAAATTGATTTTGATGAAATCTGATGATTTCAAGCACAAGATCTGTTCATCTTTCCTGATGAGACCACATGTTGGTCATGGTTAGTTGAAGGATCAATGGAAAGTTGAAATCTGACAATTATCTCTGGTGTTTTTTACTTTTTTTTTGTTTTGATGAGTTGTGTAATTTGGGGGTTTTTGTTTTGTTTTTCTAAGACAACGGGCGTTTCAAACCCGCCAATGTTTTTATTGCATATGGACCCCCTTGAAAATGGACCCGGAGTCAATATTCCACAGCGGAATATGAACCCCCGGGTTAGGGTCATACTTGAATTTTGTTGTCTATGTTCATATTTATTTATATAATTAAAATTATTAGGGGGGTCCATATTCTATGGGGGTCCATCTACAATCTAACACCGGCTAATCAGCCAAAAACTAATTAAGTTAGCATTGTTTGTAGTGTCTCTAAATGGTGGTGGTGAATCCAACTGTTAAAGGTAGTACAGGAAAAAATATATCTAATAATAATCACAATGATAATGGATGAGGACGAGACAATTTCACTGCAATGGAGTTAAACCCACAGGATCCCAGTGTTATCAAGATGTTGAAACAGTCCTGCAGCTACACATCAAGTCCCAAAAATCTCCCAATAATGTGTTTTCTGCTTCTACATTACGGCCAGGCTTCTTGTGTAATCTGCACAGCAGCAACAACTGTGATTAAACCCGTCACCCTTCGGTCTATGCAGGTGTTTTTTTAAGTGTCGCATTCCTCGCATGTTCTACAGGGCGTATGTTCAACCCATTACGTATCAGTGAATCATCAAGGAAATAAAAATGTCTCATCACTTCCTTAACATAACAAGGTGTTTGATTTACTTTGGCAAACGTTGCGTCGAAGTTGGCTCCTGTTCACCGGACTCACCCGTCGTACAGAGCCATGGATAGGTTTGCTGACTCACCGCAGTAATGAGAAAATAATTGCATTTAAATGCTGAAAAGCTGCATTAGTCACTGAACATCAGCTGTATCGGAGCAGACTACAACGTTTCTGGTACGGTGACATCCCCATTCATCATTATGAATTCGAATATCCAGCGAACATCATTCACTTAGGAAGTCACCCATCACGGCTAATTGTACTGAGAGTGTGGGAAAATCACTCTTTAGAAGTCACTCAGTCAGAATAACAAATTACTGTTGTTTTTTTTGTTTTTTTAAAGAAAGAAATTAGGCTTAATTATGTCGATGATTTATATAAAGGCACATTTCATTAATCATTCGATAACAATACTCTTGAAAATCGCTGTATTCTATCTGGTGATGACTACGAGTATGCAAACATTTGGTATAATTGCTATTTTTTAATCTTACCTACAACAGACTGATACATATAATTTTGCTCGATTTAATGATCAGCTTTTAACTGTGTTCCCTTTGGTGTGTGTCCCTGAATCTCTTTCCCCTCGCTTTTACAACTACATCTCGAGATGCCGTCTAGACGAAGACGAGGTTGCCTTTCTTTGAACGCACATTTGCTGTTTGAGGTTTGAGGCTTCTTTCAAGCCTGGAGTCTGACACTTCAAGTGTGTCTGATGACGGTCGGTGTTACACGCACTTAATTATTTCTGGCTCGACACACGGTGTTCAAAGCAGATGTTAGCAGCGAATCAGTTTCTGTGGTTGGCTCAGACAATGCATGGAAATATGCAGATGTACGGAAGATCTGACTGTAGAATCAGTTTGAAGTCACGTGTTCGGGGTACAAAAATTAATACAAAGGCAAATAAAATGTAGAAAATCCATCCATTATCTATACACCGCATAATCCTCACTAGGGTCGTGGGGGGGCTGGAGTCTATCCCAGCTGACTCAGGGGGAAGGCAGACCCTGGACAGGTCACCAGTCTATCACAGGGCTACACTTAGAGACAGACAACCAAGCACACTCACAGTCACACCTACAGACAACCAGTTAACCTCAACATGTTTTGGACCTTGTGGGAGGAAGCCGGAGAACCCACGCTGCACGGGGAGAACATGCAAACTCCACGCAGAAAGATCCCGGTGCCCCCACCGAGATGCCAACTGGCGACCTTCT